GAGAGAGAGAGAGAGAGCTAGGCCAAAACTTTTCTACCCACCTGCGTTCCGAGTTGAGAATTAGGCTGTAACCTCCTTTCAGGGGGATGCATCCTGCTTGGTTTAAGGATCAAACACCAAAGTTATTTCGGGGGAACACGCTCTCTTTTCTTGGTTTTTGCCGTGGCTTTCGGGGTCCTTTGGCCGGCTTTGAAAGTTTTGCACATGGTAGCTCCTTAGGGCTTCAAGACTCGCTGTGCAGGTGCTTTACCTTGACATAAGCCAAAGGACAGACATTGTGCAATGATGTGAAAGCTTGGCCATCACATCTACTCGGGGGATCTCGGGGGAAAGCACTTTGTGATTCTTACTTACTTGTACTCACTTTGGCCGCCGTTGTTGTAATGCCTTCTCCTGACATTCATGCTCGGATCCAAACCCCTCATTCATGATGACTTGTAAGGGTTGGGGGGGTGACTTGTAAAGGATTCGCAGTGGAGAGCGTGACTTACACTTACCGGAAGACGTCAATGGTCCTTGTTCCTTGTTACTCTATTATAGGTCTTGCTCTTTCACTTTCGACCTGAACGGGGGAATTGCTGTCCGCGCATGTGTCTTTGAGAATGTACGTACGATCACCATTCCTCTGCTATCGTAGACTTTATGACTTCAGCCTTTTGGTGGTCTACACTCGCTCGGCTGGGCCTGGCGCCCGGGGGCTTTGACCAGCCCTCATGCCCGGGATAGAGAGAGAGAGAGAGAGAGATGTGTGTGCGTGTGCTCGGTGTAGGGGTCAAACCCCTACACCCTTGCCCTGGCGAAAGAAGATGTGTGTGTGTGTGTGTGTGCGCGCAGTGGGCGGGCGGACACCCGCTTCCTCTGGCCTGGTAGAGCGCGAGAGAGAGAGAGAGAGAGAGAGCCGCGTGATCGGCGAGCCTACTCAACTCCTTTGACCGGGGGGCGCTGCACGACTACCTCTACATCGAACGTCGCTTACCTCTACGTAACGGTCGTGACTGTGGCAGCCCGGAGAACATAGGCAAGTCCGCACTACGAGTGGAGCGATGGAGCAGAATAGCTCTAGCCAGGTGCCCCAGAGAATGGCAGCTGTTCCTTCGAGCAAAAAGGATCAAGCAGGCTGTGGACCAAGCTCTTCCAACACAGCGCAACGACTTCTTCGGGGACAACCCTGCACCACAGCCCTGGCGAAAGAAAGAGAGAGAGAGAGAGAGAGAGAGAGAGAGAGAAAGACGTGTGTGTGTGTGTGTGTGTGTCGCCTCTTACTCTTACCCGGATAGAAATGAAGTGACGAAAGATGTGTAGTGCATGGTGCGGAAACTCAGAACAGTTCGGGGCTGCTTGTGCTCTTTTGACTAAGAAGAACAAGATGTGTAGTGCATTTTCCTTAGGTTTTTCATGTTTTATCCGAAAATGGGAGAAACGTTGCAGTCGAGGATGATGGATGGATCCTGGGATCCGATACCCTCCAGAGTTTTTGATGGCTTGGAGTCATGCTGTGAAGCTCTACAAGTTCTTCGCAAAGCAGATCACATCGGGAAGATCGTCGTCAAAGTACCATCAATCTTGCAAGTCCGGGAGGGAGCAACATACCTGATCACAGGCGGGACTGGCGCTTTAGGTCTGGCTTTGAGCCGTGCGCTGTTGGAAGAGGGAGTAGACGCGACTCGGCACGACGGGTGTGTACCATAGCATCATTCTGGCATGGGAAAAAGCCGTCGCCTTCCGCAAGGATTTGGTCCTCCTCTCGCGAAGTGGCACTGCGCGATCGATGCCAGTCTGGCTTGCACGTTCAGCTGTCCGAGTGTCCTTCTGGGCGTGTAACTCCGCCAAATACCGTGTGTTTAGCCAGGACTAGTCAAGTCTGAGCGAAAAGCACCCTGAAGCGATAAGGCGACCTCAGCGCGGCCGACGCCCACCAGGTTATGTTGCAGAAGGATGGATGGAGCACCCTTGCCGGTGTGTTCCATCTTGCAGGAATAATACAGGATGGCTTGCTGGCACGGCTGGACAGGCAAGACTTGCAGGCTACCTTCGGTCCAAAAGTTCGTGGGCTGCATTTGCTCCAGCAAGAGCCCCGCCCGAGAATTGATGCTAAGGAGTGTCCTTCATTATGGGCCTTGATTCGGCTTGAGCTGAGAGTGTCGTCTTCCTTGCCATAGTTTGGTCCAAGGTGCTGATGGAGACAAATCGATGGCAGCACTTGGACTTCGTGCTCGCATTCTCGTCTACTGCCGCAATCCTTGGCTCGGCCGGACAGGCGAACTACGCAGCCGCCAACGCATGCTTGGATGCCATGATGCACAAGTGGCGTCTCTGACTTAGCATTTGTGCAGCATATGACGGCATAGCATGCGTGTCAGGAGCAAGCCGTGCCTTGAGAGCTGTAAGGTTTAGCTGGACAGAGGACATTGAGCTTGCAGTGGGGAGCATGGCTAAACGTGGGAATGGCACAGCCCCACAGCTTGCGGCACCTGTGTCAAAGGGGAATTCCTCTTGATGTGGGTCCATGCCTCAGTCTGTTATCGTTGCCGAAGCCTTACCTGGATCTCTTCTGTGGATATGTCGGAGCGTTGACACAAGCATGAGCAGCAATCCCACGAGAATTGAAAGCACGATGGCGCACAACAGCCAGCTGCTGCATTGCAGGCCTGTTGGTCTAGAGAAACCCAAGCGAAATGGTAAAGACACCTGGGAGCTGAGCTCTTGAGCCCGTATATCCTGGAAAAAGGTGCCTGTCCAGCCTCGAAGCCGACTCGAAGCCAGCATGTCGGTTATCTAAGGCCTGGCTGCCATGGCATCGGCAATGGCGTTTTTGGGTGTCGAAAGTGCAGTCAGTTTTGCAAACATGGACTGGGAGACCTTTCTGAAACCGGTGCAAGCTCGTGGATACTTCACTTTCGTGGATTCTTGTCGCGATATGCGAAGTATTGATGATGTTGCACAGGAGGATGCGAACCAGAAGATGACAGGTATCCCCCCGCCGTACCAGAATACATTGGACTGGGTTCTGGCAGTTCTGGCCGGCTTGATCGGCGAGGTTGGTCCTGAAGACCCACTCACTGCAGCCGGCCTGGATTCACTTTCGGCCGTGGAGTTCCGCCGAAAGCTCTCGACCGACAGTGGCATCCCGCTACCGCAAACCCTGGCGTTTGACTATCCAACTGCCCAGCAAGTTTCAGACTTTTTGGAATGTCAAGGCTCTGCAGCACCCCAAGCTGGCTCCGTTCATATCCAGAAGAAGGTCTCTGTCTGTTCAGTGCAAGGCAATTCATGCCGCTTCCCGGGAGTGGATGTTTCGACTGCTTCGACTTCACAAGCTTGGCAGATCTTTTGCAAAGAGGTTGATGCTGTCACGGAGGTCCCGCTACGACGCTTTGACATCAACGAATGCTTTGATGCCAACATGTCCGGCGCTGAGTTCGTGACATATGCTCGCCATGCCAGTATGCTGGAAGGGACCGATCTCTTCGACCACCGGTTGTTTGGGATTTCCAGCAACGAAGCGTCTGCGATTGATCCACAACAGCGAAACGCTTTGGAGGTTTCCTACGCTGCCTGCCACGATGCTGGGCGGCTTCGCAAGTCCTTGGCAAAAGCAACAATTGGTGTTTTCGTCGGGCAATGTGCCAATGACTGGGCGAAGACCTCCAGGGAGCGAAAGGCAGGCACTTTCATGGGACCGGGCACACACGTGCCTCGTTTTTGCAGAGTGTCTTCGTAGTCGTGGTCCTGCAGAAGGAAAACCCTGAAACATAAACCAGTGTCTTTAACGCCCGTGACCATGACCGGCCAATCTCAGGCGAGCATTGCAGCAAACCGTCTCTCTTTCTGCCTTGGGCTGGAGGGAGTGAGCGTCGCAGTTGACACAGCTTGTTCGTCTACGCTGGTGGCTTTGGATCTTGCAATTCTGCGACTGCGTGCCGGGCTAGAAGCCGTCATTTGCAGCGGCAGTCAGCTGAATTTGATTGTGGAGCCTTGGCGACGAGCCGAAGAAACCACTGTAGGCTCAGCAGGATTCAGCAAGTGGTTCCCGCAAGCAAGACTCAGGAGCCGTTCGTCGCGTTTAGCAATGGAAGGCTCCTGTCCGCAAGTGGGCGGTGCAGAACCTTTGACGCTTCTGCAGATGGCGCTTTGGATGCAAGTTTGTCCGGGCGTGGAGGCAGAATGCAAGACGTATCGGGCAGGGTGTTTCAACGTGGTGTAATCAAACCGAACAGACAGGCTCGAGAGATCGTCGAAGCCTGAGCCAGTGGCTCATCCTCACCCCGGGCTGTAGCAACAGATATCATATCATATCATACCAAGCTTAGTTGAGCTTAAATGTACGCAGAGGAATATGGTTTGGCTACACATGCCACCCCGCTTGTGATTCCCCATTCTGGCTACATGCTGCAATGCTGCATGATGGAGCTTCAAGTGTAGCCTTCGGAGCTGGCACTCAGGTTTCGCACGAGGGGAAGGCTTCGGCTCTCTGTTCATCGAGGAGAGAGAAGAGGAGGGACTCTCCGCTCGAAAAATGGAGGGACAGGGAGAAACGACGGTGCGGCACCTCGCAGGATCTCCATGGTCAGGGCCACGGCGGCCACGGCACGCTGCTGGGTTCCATGGCCAACCAGGCAACGCACAGCGGCCTAGTGCCTTAAGGGGGCCACCTGAGCGGCATTCGGTGCACTGCGATATGCTGCGTGCTCACGCTACTAAGCCGCGATGCCAGGATGGAAGAAGCTCGTCTCTCACCGCGCCGAACGGACCGGCTCAGCAGCGGGTCATCAACGCTGCCCTTGGGCTGTCAGGCAAAGGGTGCTGTAGATCCCAGAGTTCCAGCGAACATCTGTTGAGTGGTGTCACTGTGGTGCCCGTTGCGCAGGCCTGATAGCCGCTGAGGTCTCAGCAGCGTGCCTGACATGTTCGGCTCCGTTATGCTCTTCTGGTGCCAAAGCGGTCTGCTGTGCGCAGGTTGAGTGTCATGGCACCGGAACTGCCCTTGGAGATCCCATTGAGGCATGACACGAGACGAAATTGTCGTGCGGCATTGGCGAAAACCGTTCGAGGTTGGTGGGCTGCGTGGAACTCTTGGTGATGGCCGCTTGAACACGCTCTTCTTGATGGCTGGAAAAACCAATGCCTCGATCTGAGGGTTTGGCGAAGCACCTGCGTAGCCGCGTCCCTCACTTCTACAGGTTGGCCACCTTGAGGGTGCTGCGGGAGCACTGGGTTTGCAAAAGTCGGCTACCCGATTGCTTCTCTGTGGAAAGTCGTGAAAGAGCTAGTTAGCTCGTTGTGAATAGGCTTCTGCAGACGCGTGCATTGTGCAATGAGAGTCTCACAGTCACGGTGCTCACAGCGTTGCAGAATTTCTCGAGGTGTCTGGCAATCGTGGCGCAGCTGGAGGTGTTCGCCAAGCTGTTCTGCTTTGTCTAAGCTGCAGCCGCTGAGAGCCAGGTTCCGCCAAATCTGCACCTCAGCTCACTCAACCCACACGTTGAGCTTGAGGACATTTTCCTTACTGTCGCGCTAATCCTGCAAGTAGATACTGGCAGGACTTCAATGCCAAACCTTCAACCACTCTGGAAAGGCTTTCTGGAATGGTGAGTGCCAATGTGACCTGGCGGTTCAGTTTTGTTGATTTCACCATGCACATATTCTACCCCAGCCTCAAAGACTCTCCCCTCGCCAGACTGAGGTTGGCTTGTCGTCTTTTGGGTTCGGTGGCGAGAGCCTTGGATGTGGGCCACGCATCTACCCCTGTGCATTATTTGTGTACTAGCTGAAGGTACAAACGCCCATGCTCTGCTGCAGAGCTCCAGGCGGGGGAGTTTAACAGTTTACCGAGCATGCATGACCTGAGGCTATGCTTCTAGCCGTATGTACACGATTGATTAGTGAGCGACGGATGTTTCGGCGACCTTGTCTACAGTGTGTGTGATGGAGAATCTGGCATGGCATTTAACTGTGCAGTCTGCGCGCTCCAACATGCAGCTGTGATGTGGCAAGTATGTCCAGGCCACAAGTGCGAGAGCCTCCAGAGACACTTCCGGCTCTCAGCTTTCGACGAATGCCTTTTCCCTGGGCCACGCCGGTGCTTCAGCCCAGCCTGTGCGGGAAGTCTGCATTGGCAATGCTGGGCAGTCCAACTGAGCCCGACAGGTGCCACGACTGCTGTCTCTCAAAAGGGGCGAAGGTTCAACAGTTATTTTCGAGGCGAGGGGCACGGAAATCTTATTTCCCTATCAACTTGGTCCGCGACCTGCCAGGTTCAGGTTGATGCAGAACTGGTCGGTCTTTGCAGCCACATGGCTGCTGCCTCGGAAGCACCAGGATCAGCTCAGTCAACATGGGAGCATAGTTCTGCACCAAACCTGCTGTACTGAAGTGGGGTGTTGGGCCTCCGGAAGTGAGGTCTACGATCAAACCTGTATGTCATCAGCGCTGCTTATAGCCTTTGTGCGGCTGCTCAGCCATGGGATCTTCAGCACGTTGTACCGCGGGGCTCACTTACAGAGAGGCCATGGACGCCTGCCGGCACCATGCAAAGCAGGTATCGGCAATACTGGAACAGAGCCGGTGTCTTTGAAAGCTCCTGCTGAAGCTTGACAATCTCACACTCGGCAGGCAGTTCAACTGAAGAACGTCCAAATGGTTGCAGGAGCCTTACACGGACGAGAAAGCGCGACACAGTGCTCCCTCGATCGACAGATGCTGCCGGCACTCAAGGCACCTTTATTCCTTCCCTGCGAGTACGATTGCCCCAGCCTCATCCAAGAGACCAAACCTCTGCGTTGGCTCTCATCTCCACAGGTCAGACCTGGCTGAGATTGGCACTGGTGGAGCACCCTGGCTGAACAGAGTGCTGGCATCGCAGGCTCGTTGTGGCTGCACCTGAGGCAGCAGTTTCAAGTGCTGAGCAAGCCACGGCTCAGCAGTGATGCAGAGCCCTCGTGATCCAATTGCAAGTATCACCCCTTGTAGCATCTGGCAACGCAGCCGAGCCAACCCCAATTCGCGGGATTGTGCAAGTGCAGGCCTGGATGGTCCATTGCAGCGGCCGCTATGCAACACAGGCCTCCCCTTTGCAGCGCGGTTGCGGGTTGACCGCCGCTACCTCTTTGGAACGTTTTGTGCTTCGAGCATTCGCTGCACAGTATGAAAGCAGCAGAGTAACGAGTAGAATGTGCTGTACAGAGGCTGGATGCCAATTACAGCATTTGCGTGTGGCCTGCATCATGCGGCTCGCATCTAGCAAGCACAATGGATCTTGCAGGCGGCATCACGCCCGTCGCTGCCCCAGCCAGACTTGGATCGCAAATTTCACGACCAGCTACGCTCCAGACAATTCTCTATGTCATTGATTGGGGCATTGCTGACTCGGACATCAGCTACAGGCTATACGCACGCAAGCCATCAAAAAGCCGAAAACGTGTGAAGGCTGCAGCCAGCCCAGGAAAGACCTCGGAGTTTTTCGAAGCTTTTTTGATCTTTTTGGACTGCAAGCTAGCCAACCAACACATGTCCAGCAACAACCACGGCTCGTGGAAATGCACGAATTCTCTCGCGGCCGATTTCCAGAGCGGCACACAATCAGCCTGTGTCAGCGGCCAGGCGGCAACACCTTCGCAAATTGCTATTCTGTAGAAGGTTTGTCCAAAGCAACGCAATCCTCTGTTTCGGCTTCAGCACGATGATGTTGAATCTTTGCAGCAACACCAAGGTTGGCTGCAAGCTTGGGCGGGACTTTAAGCATTCTTGGCTCTGCGGCAGCACGCCAAAGGCAAGCTGCACCAAAGTGAGCAAGTCTGATTGTTTGTTTCAGCTGGAGTCAAGATCGTACGGAGGCAGCCGGCAGCACGCAGTTCTGAGAGTTTCGAGGAGAACGAACTGGGCAGAACGGCAGAATATAGGAAGGACATCCACGCAACAACGCTACAGGCCTTGTGCAGAAATGCTGAACCGGTGGCAGATGCTGCGCTGGAGGCTCCAAGCCGCTGTTTGTTGAAGGTAGAATCAGGAGGTCGATTCATAGATTCCTTTTTGAGAGGAGCTCAAAGCCAAGATGGCAGAAGGGATTCCTTCGCCCCTCGGCCGGCCCCTCGGGGGGGCTAAGGAGGAGCTGAGACCTCTGGGCGTACTCACAGGCGCATCGATGGAGCTGCTGAGCGATGTGCACATCAAGAAGGGCGAACTGTGCGCTCGTAGGACCCTCGGCCTGTGAGGTGAGCGCAGCACAGGACGCTGTGCTACGGCCAAACTCGTAGCGCCCGATGGAAATTTGCATAGTTCTCGTTTCGACCCTGTGCAATATGTTTGCAAAAAGTCCGAAATCTGTCCAAGCCTCCCTTGCAACACAATTAAAGCCGGTAATCTTGCATAAACATGTTTTGCCGTTTGGTCGTGCAGGCCGCTCTTTATGCTAGCAGTATAAGCGTAGTTGGCCAAAGCACTTCGCAATGGAGACTTTGTGGGAAGACAGAATGCCGAAAGACGTTACCCCAAGCAGGCTTTGTTTGAAACCGAAGAAGTGCCAAAATGGATTCAAACATTGGGACGGTTCTGGAGGCCGAGCCAAGCGTAGTTGGTTCCCATATGATTCTCGAAATGAAGTGCAAGCAAAGCGGCGGCCATGGACGGTCACTGAATGCGTGGCAAATGTTCGCATGTGCACTTTGATTAGACGGGCTGACGGAGTAGAAATTGCCAAGTCGTGGGAGGGAGGGGAGACAGCTGAAGGATCCACTACTGCATGACAAGCACGGCAAGGAAGCAGCCTTGTCATTCCTACTTGTAGAACAACGGGTTTGCATCAAGACTCTAACTACTCGTGCAATCGTCGTAGTTCTGCCCCAAGGAGCCATGGGACAAGGTAGCTTCAGCATTCAATCACCGTGGATCCCCAAGTCCTCTCGACCTGAGCAGAAGATGACCTATGGCAAACACAGGCCAAAACCTTACACGTTGTCGAAAGAACCTGAAGCCTGATCGACAGCGATGGATGACAAGACTGAAGTCCTACTAGGAGATGACGAGCTGTAAACCCTAATCGGAGATGGTACATGCCAAACCCATCAAGCAAGGGGGCGATGCGTTTTCAGAAACTTTAACTCCCAGAAGAGTTGGAGAGGTCAGACAGAAACCCCAAGCCTTATCAGTAGATCAGTAGATGATGGTTAGTACATTAGTACCCAGTAGCCACTAGACTCATTTCATTGGCTCGTAGCGACTGCTGTATAATGTTGTACAAGAGCGGGAATACCAACACTTCCATGACAACCACTGCCAAAATCCCGAAATCAGAGCATGCTGGAGTCCTGAAATGTTCAAAGCCCTCTCACTGTTCTCTGAAAGAACGAAGGACGAAGGAAGAAAGAAGCACGACACTGGAAGATTGCGCTGAATTCCCTCCAGCCTCCTAAGCACGCAGGATGAAAAGACCGACACAGATTCGTGGAGTGTACACATGGCCTAAAGCCGTTGCTTGCAAACGCCTTGAGCTGCCGACGCGGCCTCAGAGTGATGCCCGCTGCAGCAGACAGTTCGTGAGGCCTGCGCTTGCCTCTCGACTTTGCAAAGTTCTCTGCCGGGTTCTTTGGATCTGAAGCTTGTCAGTGTCTTCTCGGCTCATTTTCAACAGAGGCAGTCGCAGTCGCAAAGGTCCATCCAGCTTTCCTGCAAGCCATCCACTGCGCAGCGATGCCCCTAGGGCCCTAGACGTATTGCCAGCTCTTCCACTGCAAACGCATCACCGAGACCACAGGTCCTCGGCCTAGGCTTCTTCCAAGAGATGTCGGAAAGCTTGTCGCAGGACTTGCCAACAACCGAAAGCTCAACTAGTAGTTTTTTGCGGTTCTAGCGGCAGGTGGCTTACGGTACTCCATCAGGAATCAAAGCTGTTTCCGCCAGCCAGGACCTTGCCTCTGTCGTCTCGTGCTCTGTGTCGAACGTGGACCGAGACTTGCAGGGGCTCTCCACGGAAGCTCAAGAGCTGAATGGAAGATGATGGTTGTGACATGTACTCGCGAGCTGGCACGACGGCAAGCAGCGGAGCATGCGGTGGTTTGTCCATCATTCAGCCTCTCCCACACGGTTTTTTGAAGGCGTAATTGTACGTGCATGGATTCTGCGACACGCATGTTGCCGTCGTGTTACGGACACAAAGCGCAGGACATTCCACAGGGGACAGAGCACTTCGTTCTTCATGTGCGTCGCAGAGGAAGCATGATTTCCAATCGCAGGCCAGAGTGACCGATCAGCAGCCGGTTGCAGAGACACTCTCATGCTGATACCCTATCCTGCTCAGTCTCCCAGCAGCAGCCACGGTGGCTTTGGATGGTGGGCCAACCCTGCTTGACATGCAGGAGATCAGAAGTAATTCTTCGTATCTGTCTGTTCAGGTAGCTGCTGCCACAACTGCGGCCACGACCACTCCAGTTGCAACGAGCGCTGACTTGCAAACAAAGCAGGACATTCACTTCCGGCCCCTCTCCAAGAAGCAAGTGGTCTGAGCCTCGCTGTGGCAGGGTGTGCTAACAAGGTGGTGTAAGCATTGGATTTCTGATCTTGCATTCGCAGGCTCATCTCAGAGTGGTTTCAAGCCGACAGTCATATGCATAGAGTTGTACAAACCACCGGAAGGTGGCGTGCACAAGTGACTGCAGAGCCACGTGGCCATTGACCAACAATAACCCAGCCTCGCTGCGATGGAGTCACCAACTTTTAGCACCAGCTTCCTGACACTGGGGCATGAGCCGTCAGTAGCTAGTGGTAGCAAATCAAATCCGGCTGAAGGAGATGTGCAAATAGTGTGTATATATATATATATGTAGATGGTAACCCCCACCCCCATGGACCTACCGACCCTCGTTTCGTATTGTGAATGCCTTGGGTGGGCGTTAGCTATGTATATATATATATATACACAACATATATGGTAGCCTCCACCCATGGACTACCGACCTTGATTTTGTATCGTAAATACCATATCAAAGCAGCTTTTCCGGGAGGTCCGGATTCCGTATCTCTCAAGGGACTGTCAAAACCAAACCCACATTTCAATAGAGCGTGCCAGACAACTCGTTCAGGTTCGACGTCAGCACGCACTCGACGGCAACACAGTGCTCTTCCAATCAAAAACAACTTTCCCTATGCAAATCCAAAAATATCTTTTAAGAAAAATGTGTTTTGGGAAACTACACAGCCAAACTCTCAAAAGATTGTTTTTCCCTAGGAAAAAGTTGGTTTCTGTGTGAAAAACACCCCATTAAAAAGATGGTTTTGGATCGGAAAAACCCAATTTTCCCAGGAAATGATGGTTTTGGACCGGAAAACCAATTTTATTCCCAGGAAACCCCTGAAAAACACGGCGAAACAGTTTTTGGTAAACTATGCTGCCAAAGATACAAAAAAATGTTTTCTTGCTTTCCGCAGAAAAATCTGGGTTTTTCACGCCAAAACCTTTTTTTCCGAGAACAGAGTTGGTTTTCCACACCGAAGCCCATTTTTTCTTTCGAAAAAGTTGGTATTTCGGCCCAAAACCACCTTGACTGTGTGTTAGCTGTTCCTAGGAAAAGTTTGTTTTCCGGTCCGAAACCATCTTTTTCCCAGGAAAAAGTTGGTTTCCGATCCAAAACCATTTCCTGGGAAAACGCTGTATTTCACTCCAAGGCCAAGTTTTTCCTAGCAAGGAGTGTGAGTGTTTCATTTGTTGCTTGTGCACGTTACGAAAAAATGCGCCAATAGGATTCGAATGTCATTACTTACTTTTGGGATGCGGTCCCGCTTAACGTTAAGACTATACAGTATACTGGATAATAACCAGGACATTATTCGGATCAGTTTTGGGGGGTTATTACAGCTACCACTACGATTTCTTCTGGCTGACTCAGGTTGTAAGTTAGAAAAGAGAAACATCGGGGTCAGATTACTAGTGGTATTAAGCCTCTATGGCTGGCATCAGGTCTGCTGCCGAGCCGAATATTGCGGTCACCATTGACATAAGGGCGAATGACAAGGATAGGGTTAGGGTTGATGGAACAAGGGGTCGGTTAACGATCCTCGTCATTAAGTTGGTATCTAGTACAGGTTTACCCTTAGGGTTAGCATTTGTAGAAACACACATAAATGTACATACTCGCATACTGGCAAGTCCGACAGCAAGTCCGACATGATCATATACTACGGTGAGAAAAGGGTGCCACATACAATATGTCGAGGTAGAAAACAAATGCTGGTATCACCCCCAGAAATCTAAGGGCCATGATTTGGGCAACGCCAGGGCGAAGACAGCACGGATCGTGGTTTTTAATGGAACTCGTTCTGTGTAGTTGAATATTAGCATGGTACCTGCATTATATCAACAATAACTAATACGAGGCATGCCATGACTTTTATTTTCGGGGACTTAAATGCTCATGCTAGGGATCCCACAGCTACACCCGTATTAATTAACCTGTTGATGAGGCCAATGGTCGGGGTTTCCCTAATGCCATTATTTGGGTAGCTGTTGAAGGAAGTACCCGGTACAGCACGAAAGTTACTAATGGGAACCGCTTATTGGTAATACTACATTTGCGAGTAAGGTCCATTGGAGTCAGGTCCAATATTTGTGTTGTCACAGGGACTGCAATATCCTTACTATCGGGAGGGCAGTCAGGCTGATGTATGGCATTATGTCGACCTTCAGGTCGATATGAGAATTAATATGTGGGCTACTAGTCGACATAGCATTTAACCCATACGAACTAAGACGTGAATCTATAAAGCATCTGTTGTGGGTGAACATGAACTAGAAGACTACTGTCACCATTGGGGCCAATGTAAGGTCTGATGGCAACGTTAATCTTAGGGATACTATCAGTCAAAGCTCACGGTCATTCATTGGGGCCTCGATCTGAGATTACCGTGAAGGCTACTTTGGGAGTGAAATTCGGGCCCATATTGAGCTTCGGGTATTCCGACAGAAATGCCATTCATTGTTGGAGAAATCATCTTTCGGAGTATTTGCGTGAAGGGTCGCGAACTGAGAATGAAGGCGGCTGCCGATATTTGTATATATATATATATGCTGTCCCCCAACGTGACACTTGGATCATACACCAGAAGGCTAAACGTAGGAGGATTGGTGGCGCTATCGCGGCCCCTGGCGGTGGTTCTTCGGGGTGGGGGTTTGCTAGTATGAATATGTATGAATATGTATGAATATGTATGAATATGTATGTATGTATGTATGTATGTATGTATGTATGTATGTATGTATGTATATATATATATATGGGCAGGTGGTATTATACATACACATATATGTGTATTAAATTTGTATATACTTGTATTATTTTGTATGAGATAATATAATAGGAGAGTGGAAGAGAATATGGACCATGATGTATTAAGTTATGCTATAGACCAATACAGAATAGGAGCATATGATATAGTGTAATATGGTATAATTTGATACAGAATAAAGAATTATGATGTCAGGTACAACATAATAGAATACAGAGCGTGGTATCATATAAAACAATATTGCATGGCATAAAATACAATGCACGAGGTATAAAGCAATATAACATATCGTAACATAACTTAATATAAGGCAACCGAAAGTAGTGCGACACGAGATCTGGTAGTGTAATATCATGCGAAAGGACACAAAAGACAACAACAGAATAGAGTATAACACCATATAAACAGTATGGCAAAATATATTCGATCATACTGTACTAAAGTATAGTTACAGTTTGATGTCATATAATATAACATAATAGTATATGGCAATATATTATGAAATCATATCGTCTGAAATTATACGGTAAAAACAGAATGAAAACAACATAACGTAACATAGCGAAATATCACGCATTATAAAAGCATGACAAACATGCAATATGATATGGTATACTATGGTATGGTACATTCTCACATGTTTTTATTACATTATGTTATATTGCTAGAAGTGAAAAGGTTTTTACAAATCAAGGCAGAATATAATGACATGATAGGGTCATAGTATAGTATAAGACAATACAATGTAATGTTTCATATACTGTAGCTGTATAATATAAAAGAGTATAATATACTACAAATGTAAATCTAAATATAAAAATGTATATATGTATATACACTCTATATATATATGTGAAATATAGCTTTTCTCTATGCTCTTCTTCAAATGCTGGTGAACTTATTCTGCAGCATGTTTTTTGCGCTTTGAGACGAGGTCGCAGCCGCATCCATGCGGCAGACACGGCCTGCTTCTCGAATAAAGTCGCATCCTGCCACTTTTGATGCGACACCTGGATCTTAGGCTTGATATACCCAGCATCTTCGAGATGAACTGGGTGAGCGGATCATCCCAAGGGAGGAGCTATGAATTGTTTGGGACGTCACCCAGCTTCTTGAAAGCAGCTTTGCAGGACATTAGCTGATGAAGGCACGTTCGCCTCGCAGTTCGGATCAACCTTGGGCTGTCGCGGTTCGATCGTGCACATCCCCGTATCTGCATGGTGCTGCTGTACAGGGGGCATCTGGCTGATGCTTTGCCCAGCTGATCCACAGCTCGCCCGAGGATGATTTGCAAAATGCCAGTCTCCACAAGTCTCAAACAGTGTTGTTGAGTATGCTGAAGCTACTGGATAGGACTTCAAGAAGCTTTCCAAAGCTTCAAGGCACAGTCGAGCGCCTCTCCACGCATCTTCAGTGAGTGTTCTGGCAGGTACATGCAGGCGAGGGGCATGTTTCAGAGAGCGAAAGCAGTGCCGAGGAGGTGTGCCCTCGTCCACAGTTCGCATTGAGAATAGCATGTAGCCACTGTGACACACAGCCCTGACGGCCTTAACGTGTTTGATTTGTCGTGCAGGCCGCGTCTTGCCCTGCAGAAGACACACCGGCCGATGCGGCTTCGGAATCAGCTTCGGAATCATCGGCTTCAGCACCCTCACAGCGGAGCAGGCAGGTTGTTTCTGCATAGCACCTGCCTGGAAGTGGCTACTAACTCGCTAGGTCTCCCCAGCGTTGAGCTTGAAAGGAACCCGCAACAACTTGGCGAAGCGAGCATTGAGCCCGAAAAACTGTTATCCAGGCAGCCAATGTCCCGGTACCAACAGGAAAAGCGAGGCAACGTAGTAGGTGTCTTGCACGATTTCTTGCAACTTGCTGGAGCTGGAGGGGCATGCTTCCAATTCAACGAAGCTTGTCAACGAGCTGCTGTCGGCGGGCTTTGAAGCTGTGCCTGCGCATCCAACCCAAGCAAGGAACATTGCAAGCAGGGAAAGAGTAACAGATCGGCACAGATTCTGGCTTGATGTGGACAGGCGACACGGATAGCCTGCTGAAAATAGAGAACTTGGCCGGCGCATGTTGTGAGTCGGGATGCATGCCGAGTGTCTTCGAGCGTTGGGCAGCAGATTGTCCTGTTGAGTGGGAGAACTGACCGACATTTTCAGACATCCAACACCAGCCAACCAAACTTAGCGCCTTTCCGGCTACTGATTCTGATATGCATTCCTGCATTCGACTTGTTTCGTAGAAATGCCGTGCCGGGCTGAGGCCGTCGCGGCCCGCCCGGGTGTTCCTCACTCTCGCCCTCGCGCTTGACACCAGTCGAAATACAGAGGGGAACGCGAGCCGATGTGGATGGAAAGTTTCGATTCGAAAATAATCGTGGACTGAAAGAAGGGGCACCAACTCGAACGAAATATGAATTTGCCACACTGTAGCGCAGCGATCTTTGCGCACTTTCTGATAGCAGTGACTGCAAGCTTCCGACTTCGATATCGCATGCTATGTGAGGTTGGAGTCGAAGCTCATCGCCTGTCTTTAATCACGTAGTCGTTGTGTCTCCCAGTCAGCCGCTGAAAGCACGTTGGCTCTGGCGCACGGCAGCCGGGAACACTAGAGGAATTAACAACAGACCCAGGCTGACACATGCAAACAGATACACAACGACATGCAACGGGAGCGGGATGTGTTCAGGGTAGGGATTCGAAGCGAAGAGCCATGCGATGCCATGGTGCCTTGCCAAGTATGGCTGATCGCCCGCTTGGGTCATCGGCTCGATGAGCTCGTGCGCTCCGTGAAAGCAGCCTTCGCCCTCGGCGCCGAATGCCGCGTTCGCGTTCCTCACCTCAATGCTCCACAACCCCTTAAACCCCCACAGATGGCCAAAGGTGTCATGACGTACCATGTGTGGCAACCTAGGTGCTGCTCCTAACTGCTGAGAGCTACCGAGTTCTAGACCTGCAGTCCGAAGACTTCGAGTTTGCTGCTTCGGAGCTGGCACGGTCCTTAGTTTTCTTCGCTCCCTGGTGTGCGCGAGTCGCTTAGAGATTTTGTGTACCCGTCCACATCATATCAGTCTATGCGTTCCTACACGGCACACAGTCAGATGGCCCTCTTCGTCCAGCTAGTTCACTGCTGCAGTCCTATTTCCACGCCATCCGCTCCTCACTTCTGAAAATCTGCGGCTCCCCTGCAAGTTCGGTTCGACTTGGGATGTCAGACATGAGGTAGTCAGAAACTTTGAGGGACCACAGCTGCACCGGCCTGGCTTCTTCTGCACAGCTGTACAGCTCTTCAAAGATCTACCTGAGGCAACCCTGCCGTATGTAATGCAAGGTGTCCCACAGTATAGCGCAATAAACATCCCTGTCTTCTTGTCTATTCTCAAAGCACTCCGGCACGCCGTTCCAACACCGCCTGAGGTAAGCATCGAGGGGCGAGGGGCACTAGACTCACCAAGGTGGACAAATGTGGACGCAAACGTTGCCGGCAACAGGTTTATGGCACGCATGCACGTTTGCTGGTCAAGCTATGTCAAACTGACGTAGATCAATTTTCCACGAGAGACTTTGCATGAGGAGGAGCCTGATCAGGAACTAAAGGATTGGACCCACAAGCATCTACAAACGGTATCGTATTTTGATAACGGTGCATGGGGGCATAGACTAGAGTGCCGCATAGACAGATGCTGCTTAAACCTGCAAGTGCCCGTGTGGCAGTTGCCTCGTGTCGATCCAGCTACTCCCCTCTCAAGCGGTTGTTTACCCTTTGTGAGAAGCCGACGTGACGCTCTAGCTTGAAACACCCCAATGACCAATGTCAGCATGACTGAGGATTAAAGGGGGATCATGGACAAGACACGATAGACCGAGGATTGGGTTCGACAGATACAAGCCGCAACTGGGCGCGAGGCAGGTCGCTCAAAGCAGCCTGAGTGGGTCGCCTATCTAGGACAGACGAGGGCAAGCATCGCACACGTGTCGAAGAGGCAAAAGGCCAAGTGGGCAGTAAAGCAAAGTCAGTTTGTAGCCAGACGATCTCAAGTGAGTTAGGCTAGGGCTAGGGAAAACACCACAAGGGATGCAAACGAGACAACGATAAACAACCGAAACAAGAGTCCCTGCGGAGGTTTCGTCGCTGCAAGAAGCAGTGCACAGCCTGACCTCCGAGCGGGGGTCATGTCCTGTAGTTCTGTTAGACGAGAACGCCAAGGAGCTTTGCTTGGTACCCCTACGTGCATGAGATGGCAGTATGAGACGGTTTTGCTCTCGGTATCGTTCAACAGAACTGTCCTTCATGCTGACACGTTTGCCGTGCATCATACCTACTTGATCTGCTTTCTCGTGCATGCATGACGTTGCCTTTGGAGTCACCCGTAGGCCTTTGTCAGACGAACACGCGACAGGAAGATTGGAGCTGGGCGGCACCTGTGGCCAATCCAATTGTCTGCCTGGGAGTGCATGAGGATCTCAATGGTTAGACCATCGTGTGACTATCCAAAGTTACACCTTCCCATTTGCCAGGATTTCGAGGAAGAAACGATGGCGATCCGGGTCGCAGCTGCGACACATGCAGTGCAACTGGGGCCTGTAGCCTTGCATTCTTCGGAAGCCTGGCCTAGTTTGGCTTCTAGGATGACCAACTGTGCTTGTTGCTGTTTGACCTGCCACCTACTGAACTCAAAGCCTACTCATCTCAGGCATGTCTGCACCTTCTATCTTCTATTCGTTTGGGAGATGCTGGTGATCCTTTGTCACCGGTGCGGCCAATGGTTGTGCAGAAGGACAGTGCCCCAAGAGCTTTCTCAGCAAGCACGGGCCACAGCAGTCCATAGTACCTGTCAGCGTTTGTTTTGTGACCATGGGAAAGGCTCTTGAACCGTCATGCGGACAATAAGGAACTTTCAGGCGAGCTTTGCCGCGCAGGCAGTCAGTTCGTTTCTTTCTACGCCTGGACGATTCGCCGTTTTCGGAAACGACCAGAACACAGGTACATCAGGCTTCCGGAATGGGCCCTGCTTGTGCTGCTGCTTTCTTGCATTCCACCGCGCATTGGAGCCGACATGCCAGAGGCAATTGTTGGCGCATGCCTGGTTTCCAAGAGTGTCTACGATGAAGCCTGACGGCAAAGAGGATTGGAAGTTTCAGTCTAGTTTGCAGAGACCTCAACGTCCTGCACTTCTGCGACACTCCGTGCTGTGATCAGGAGCGCAGAGAGTTGATTAGGTTGCCCCTGTGGTAAGGACCGCGACACACGCTTGTGCTTAGTTTGGCCATCGAAGTCGGGTTTGCGGTGTGTGATGGTGGACAGAAGTCTCATGGACCTCGCGAAGGGACGCTTGGTTCCAGCTGAGGGTCCAGTGATTACCGCTCTGAAGCTGACGCTCGACTTTCTCTGGCAAATCTGGCAGCTATCCAATTACAGATGCTTGTTAGGACACGGGTAAGTGCAACTAAGGTGGGGTAGTGGCATCCCGAAACGTGCCAGGTATGGCCAGGTGTCACGCTGTGTGACATCAGGCCAAGGTTCTAATTAAGGTGTGGAAAGGACCAACGGGTACTCATTCTGTGTACCTAGCCCTGAAGAGCATAAGACACCAATTATATAGCAGTTAGCAAGCTCATTTCAGGCAACAGGAACAGACGGGCGTGTAGTGAGTCCAGATGGCACATGGCCCCGCCTCCGTTAGCGGGACATCCTGCCAACAGAGCGAGGATGAGTGAGGCCAATTGGAAAACGGAGTTGGCAGCAAGTTTCCACACAGTGCCAGAAGATGAAATATGATAAACGACTGAGCAAGAGTACAAGCACTGATCATGGAATTCAATAGCGATTGTTGCAACACTTCTGAATTGAGATAGGAAATGACGCAACGTGCCAACCTTAGCTGGGATGTTCCAAATGTATATGCGCTGCGAAAACGAGGAATTCATTCAAGACGCGAACCATTTCTGCAAATTGCATGCTTCAGTTCAACAAGAGGCTTCAATCGGCGGGAGGGATACGGGCATGATGGGCTTTTCCATAATGTATGAAGAAGAATCATGGAAGAACTAGATGCTGTACTCCAGACTAGGATACAGAGCGGCATGGAAAAGTCGCAATGCAAAGTATGCGAGAGACCAACACGTTTGATGAAAGGAGCACATCCAAGCATCGAGAGGGTTGTGCCCGAAGCAGTGGAATCAAAGCATCACAGCGCACTAGTAGAAGGAAGTGGGGAAAGGCCCTGTATTGCAAGCACCTATATTTGTATGTTGCCATTTGTATATGTGTGGGAAGCTCATAAAACTTGACGTACCAAACACATAAAACCGTTCTGTAAATGTCTTCACAACAGGAATAACAGCGACAGGTGTGAGACGCTTGGGTTAAGGCCCCACTGATAACCATGTTATTACAACCCTACACCCATGAGCAACGGCTGCCTTATTTCGGATAAGCTCCCAACTTGGTCGAGGCCTTTGCAAACTCCGGGGTTCAAACTCTTCACTTCCTCTTCGAGTGTTGATTGTTACCCTCACTCCCATCGCAATCGCAGCTTGTCAGTTTAGGAAAGTGGAAACCGACGAGAAGTCCGTGGGTGAGTGTTTACATGATCTGCAAGCTGAAACTCAGCGCTTGTCCCTGGGCCGACCTGCCGTTGTGCGAGTATCTGTGGGCGAGCCAAACAGCTGGCCAAAATGGCAAGTCCAAGCCAGCTGGCCAAGTGATCCAATGATAATGATGTTTCTCCATTGGCAAGGCGATCTACCGGTTCCAGAAACCGCATCCGTTCATGTGCCTGCATCTATGTTGCAGTTAGATACATACTCTACGCTTCAGCGACCCATTCTCTCTGTGGTTTGCTTAATCATTGGTGTTCTGTTCAGATTCTCAGATGAAAGCCGCTTCGGAACCAAAGATCGGACTGGAGACAAGCTAAGGCTGGAGCCCCTGCCAAAGCGATCATCACGCTGCAGCACTGGCACAACCTAGGAGTCCTGCCAGCAACATTGACGCCACGGCCGCGGATGGAGGGCGAGAAAGGAGACACGGAAGTGCTAAAAATCATCGAGGAATGCGAGGAGCTGCGGCCAGAACATGGCATGGATGTGTGCCTGGACACGACGATTCCTTTTCGCGGCAGAGTGGCTGGCCGGGTCCGCATGGGCCACGTCCTGTTTGCTGACTGTGGAGTTAAGGTCATGTGTAAGGAACAGCGGCTTGGTGCCTCCTTCCACGTGGTCGTGGGAGAGCTTCGCGTGGGGGATACTCTGCACTGCAGAGGCTATCCAGGATACGAGTACAAGGGTGATCCTGCGATTTTCGCAACAGAGATTCTCGCGATTGAGCCGGCGTGCACGGAAGGTCTCAAACCGTCGGACTCCGTCCTGTGGAGTCCTCAGCGGCATTCACTGGGTTCTTCTAATGGAGTGCAACAACAACTATTGCAGTTGAGGTTCCGCGATGAATCAATTCTCGTTGTGGAAAAGCCTGCTGGAAAGCTTGCCTGGGAAGACAACAGACACCGCCACGAACGTGGAACTGCCTTGAGAGTTGAAGCAGCCTCTCGACAGGAAGGTTCATTATGGGAACCATCCATGTGCGCGCTGAGACTGCATCACTCACATATCCCGAGCACTTGCCCCTCAACCCTTACAACACTGCTTTTTTCTAGCGTTGATTGCCCATCCTCAAGGGTGAGACAGGGTCTTCTGTTACAGAATGTCTTCCGTTCGATCAACTCTTCTGCTAAGCAAGGTTTAGAACTCCTGATTCGAAAATGGCTGGGCTTGACTTGCGAAGTTGTCAACTCTCAAAAAGGACTGTAGCAATACGCACACGCACACACACTCACACATACATGTGTATGTATATTATACACATGTAGATTATTTGTGTACCTACAGTTGCAGATAAAGACAGCTTCAATAATATATATATATACACGTATACACACACATTTGGGTTTGTGTGTGTGTGCGCATGTGATCGGCTGCGTTTGTGTTTGTTTTGTTGATGGTTCGTTCAGGGTGTGAAACAGTGGACTGTGCAATTGTTGCCGATCTGACAGCCGTTTCTTTCCGAGAGTCTGTCACATGTTGTGACAAGGACATCTGCTCCGCAAGCTTTGCAATGGTCAACAAAACGAACACACAGCGCACCACCAGAGCAGTCTGCTCAGAGTGCTTCGCATGAGCGCGATCTCAAGACAATGGTCATTAGAAGGGTTTCCTGTTGACTACCAGCGTTAACAAAACAGACGAAAGAACGGTCGCTTGCCTCGTAGCCAAGTCAATCATGCGGGAGGTTCCGTGGCAGAGCGTACAGTACAAGAGCGGAAAATTCAGCAAAGGCTTGCCCTGCATGGTGACATTCGCGCAGATTAGTGCAGTGTAGCCATGATTGGAAGAACCTCGAGAGCATCGTAAATTGATATTGTTTTGAATCTTGTGTCTTATTTAGAACTACATCTGCAAGCATGGCGGAGGAGATCGGGACAGCAGCTCCTTGTTGCAATTTTTCTGTATGTAGAACCCACGGCTTGAGTCCTGGAAAGTGAGGAACATCTGCTTTGTGCTCCGGAAGCTGAAGTCAGCGGTCCAGCCGTGTACACGATGACTCGGCAAGAGTCACCGTCCCATTGCCTTTTGGAGTACTTCATTCTGGTGGCTGGGAGACCTGCGGGAGTACTTTGTTGAGCAGGAAGATCGTGCTCAGATCAGAGATGCCTGTGCTGCGACTTTGAAACTCTGGTACGGGTGCCAAGGTGTCCTCGTGCCGGGCTGCATTACGACCAGCACGTGGAAAGCCAAAACAAGATGCTGAAACGCAGCTGGAGACTTTGTGGGAAGGTGAAGACTGCTCCTTTACTATACCTTCAGACAGAGGCTGTTCGCCGTCACATCATGTAGCAGACTGCAGCACCATGGTCCATGGTGTGACGAACCGTTGTGCTGGCTGACAAGGCTCCCTGCTTCGAGCTTCCGTTCGAGGACCCGAAACGAAGTCGCAAGTTTGCAGGCCCGACATGGGTAGTTCTCTAAATAGGGTCCCTTTTTAGGCTCCCAATATAGTACAGTATATAGCACGGCATATATAGTACGGCACCCTTAAGAAAAGGACCCCAAAATTTACAAAACTACGCACATGCAAAGCAACTACGGTGCAGATGCTTCAGCAAGAGCCTCAAAAATCGAGGCACTTGCATCTTCTGGGCTTCCCGGTCTGGGGTGACCGCCCTGGCCTGAGCTGTCCTGCCAGCCTGCGCCTATGGAAGCCGGTGTCATTGGACTCTGCAAAAAATGCACGGTGACAGGCACCTGAGCCTTTTGACAAATGACCAATAGAACGCTTGGCATTGCTTCCAACAGTGAACATGCAATCCATGGAATGCGATTAAGCGGACATGAAAAGTCTCGGTAGTTTGAATCTTTGGATCGGTACATTGACATCTGAAGGCGGTGCTCTGAGGTCAGGAGTCAAGAATGGTAGGGCATCTTGTCTTGACGTCATTGTCGAGGGTCCGAGACTGCAAAGGTTAGAGTGAAAATGTTGCACTTCAATGCTGTGCTTGCCTGACAGAAGCGAGGAAGGAGGCTGCAACATGCTGCAACCAGGTGTAGGCTGAAGTTCAGGCCCCTTCAAAGGGCATTAAGCTCATTATTCAGCGCTGAGGCCGTTTCGGGAACCAGCGAGCAAATCTGCGCTCACGTGCCGTTTTCGGCCTGGCAAGGCCATGGTGTCACTTGGGCCGCTTGGAGCTTTTCGGAAGCTGGGGCGGCCTCCGACTCGAAAACGCGCCACCACCGGATCTTCTAAGAGCCGAGACCTGAGAAGATCCGAAGTTGGCGGCTCTGTCCGCGCTTGCACGCTCTGCTCTCAGGTGCTGCGGGCAGTTGGTGGTGACTGGCAGTTCCCGTCGAAGGTGCAGAGACTCCCTCCAGCGATGGTGCTGTCTCACCTTGAGAACGGTCTTGGTGTAGCCTACTATGTGGCAACTCGGAGCAATGCCGAAAAAGCTGGAAAAACAAGAGGGCTTGGATGAAGCTTCGAATCTTTCAGTGTTGGGTATCGGTCCCTGCTGAGCAGGCACCACCCATTCGCAGCAGGAATCGAGTGCCAAGGCCTCGAATGACCACCTTGCAGTTGCATGAATCCTTCCATCGCAGCAAAGTTTAGCCAAGGCTCCTCCGAGCTGCCACTCGAGGAGGGGCACGAGAAAACCGTCTGCGGACTTCAGGACAGGAGATCTCACTTTGTCTCAGGACCTCTCTCGCTTTGCCAAGATCTTCGTTGTCGCGTCCGGAGATGGAAGCTGTCGTGCAGTGGAGGCGACCAGCTTTTACTCTGTGTGCACACAGCCACCAAAGCCCAGCTGCCCAGCCTGAGCGGCACGCACAGTACCTGTTCTTGAGAAGATTTGACAAGGTCCTGCAAGCTGCTGTTGAAGCTTTGAAAGCAGTCTTACAGATGGCGGCGAGCCTTGATCAGAGCCTTCCGGTGATTGACAAAATATGCGAGCTTTTGCTCCAAGGCGCAGGATGCGCAGTCTCCGCAGATCTGGTCCTTCACTTGGAGACGCCAAAAGCAATCCATGTCTCATTGCGCATCTTTGAAGCCTTGCTGCCCAGGTTCGTGATGGCAGGAACCCAGGCTTCACAAGCTGCCCTTGCCTCAACATCGCGATCTCAGACTGCAATGAAATTGCGGCGAAGGGAAATGTTACGTGGATGTGTGCAACATTCCGCAGTGTGTCCAAACTTGCAGCTATAACTACCTGAAGATCTACCCGGTCTACCTATATGTATGCATGCGAACGATCGCCAAAATTGAAATTATAGGCAGTTCGGTACGTACAGGGTAGACAATGGGCCCATCAGCAGCTGCTGCTCTTCATGCTGCTCCTGCAGCTCCCGATGTTTTTGCCCCCCTTGCTGCCCGTGCTGCTCCTCCCCTCATCTCATCTCTCTCTCTCTCTCTCCTCCTCCTCCTCCTCCTCCTATTGCTGCTGCTTCTACTGCTAAGGCGACGACGACTTCTAATAGAGGTAGCACTGCCTCTACGGCTACTACCCAAGAACTACCTTTGAAATTTCAACTTCTCTCAATCCTGAATGGCTCAGGCTACGGTACCTCTTGATTCATCGCTCGAATACAAGTCGTCTAAGTTTTCTATCGAGCCCAAACACTTGAACCCCACAAACCGCCTGAACCGAAACCTTTCAAGCCTAAGCCCCTGCATACACAGCAAACTCCTGCACCCCTAAATTCTGGCCACATAGGTCCCCTTATGGACTGCATTGGAGTAGCAGTGGTTGCTGGCATTGCCCAGTCGTAGCCGCTTCACCTGATCAGCGTAGCAATGTGCTGCGCCACTGCTCCCCGCTGCATGTTTTCCCGCCGTATGAACGTGCTCGCCGCGATCCACACACTGGATCTCTCCAACCTGTGTAGGTTTCGCCACACTTCCCCCGCTTCTTGCGAAGCCCAAATCTCTAGTAACATCGTCAGCGTCGGCCACTGGTACTCCGCCGCCAACTTGCGTGTCGCATGGTACCCTGTGACGACCAGGGGCTTGGCGCACATCAGAACTATCTGTTGCAATGCCTCCCTGGCCTCCGCAATCTTGATCGGGTTGATCGTCGGGTCTCGCACGTGCTTGTGGTTCTCGGCGTCCCACATCATCCCAGAGAGCTCCTCCTCGTTTGCACTGAGCAGGCCTAAGTTCACCGCCGAGGATCGGATACATGCATACCTACCTACATACATACATACATACATACGTACATACACATACATACTCATGCATACATACATGCATATATACGTACATACATACATACATACATACATACATACATACATATGTACACACAGAATACATACATAGAAACACGCATGCAGAATACGTAGTTATACATTCTTCATGGATAATGCAGACTTTTGCTCATCGGCCAAGCAAACGCAGTCACACAAGGCTCAGGAACCCATGTACTTCATATGCTCGTACACCTATGCCATCCATGTGAGAAACCATATAACCCTATGCCAAGCCAGAAAGACAAGTTAAAACTGCAGGAAACAGGAAACCGTGTATTACCCCATTCAAACCTTAACGCCTTAACCCTCAGCCTTCCGTAAGAATCTCAACAGAACCAGAACCCACCTCCAACTTCTTGGTCTTCGCATGGCCGGCAAGACCTTGGGACTTCTTGTGCAGGTTGGGTTTAGGGTTTAGGGTAACCCCTTCGGGTTGTGATTTCCTTCTATCTTATTATCTTCTTTTTGCAAGAAGTGTCGAATGCCCATCTTCAGGACTTGCCATGACCTCAGATTAGGCAAGCTAGCCGAAGTCAAGCCAGGCCAAGCCTTTCCCAAGCCTTTGTGCAACAACAAAGCTTGGTATAACCTGGGCCACCCTATCTAGTACGACAACCATTGGCCGATAGGGAAATCCTATCGAGTGGGAAAACCAAATGTCGGATAGAACACCACTGTCTGATAGCAAAACCATTGGCCAATAGGAAAATCCTGTCCAATGGGAAACCCATGTTTAATTGAAAAGCATTGCTTGGTGGGAAACCCGATCTATTACAAGACCCTATCTGACAAAAGGACCTTAGCGAACTGACAACAAGACTCTTCTAGAAACAACACAGCATTAGCAGCATTCAGTTTTCAGCCCAGTACAGGTACTAGCAGCAGGAGTTGTAAATGGATAGTAGTCGCAGCAGCAGCAGCAGAAGAAGTGGTAAGAGTCGCAAGCAGCAGCACAAATAAGATTAGCAGCGGCAGTAGCGTAGCAGGAGTAGCAGGACGAAGAGACGAGCCAGGAAGGCAAGCCGGCAAGAATCTGAAAGTCACAGTCCGAAGTCCGAAGAGGTCGTGGGGCCTCGTACTTCTACTGATACCTCCTACTACTACTACTACTACTACTACTACTACTACGATTACTACGATTACTACGATTACTACGCTTATTACTACTACTACTACTACTACTACTACTACTACTTCTTCTGCTACTACTACTACTACTACTACTACTAGTAGTACTACTACTGCTACTACTACTACTACTACTACTACTGCTACTACTACTACTAGT